CTCCGTGGTGTAATGCACTTGCGTCTCAAAATGGTTTTATGACTCAAAATTAATGTAAACACAGCCGGTTATGTCTTAAGGGATTAAACGGACAGGACAAACCACATTACTTCTTATATTTCAAAAGAGATCCGTGCATGAATGCAGCTTAATAGATCTCCCGCTGTCTATGATGTTATAGTAAAAAACAACAGTAAAGATGAAAAAAATCACTCGCAGTTCTTGAATGGAAAACATTCAGATAATCTTAAATACTGAAAGCACTCTTTGTTTGTTGTTTGTAATATGTTTCTATGCCCCTCTTTATTATTTGCTACTTGCTTGTATGTTTTGAAGTTGTATTAGTTTAAAAGGCTTAACATACAACTGTTTTAATTATTTTTTTTCAATTTGTAATTATTTTAAAAACTACTTAATTACTTATGTAAGGATATGTAAATGTAAGGATTTTAAGATTCTCAAGTCCGTAAACTAATTAATTAATAAGGGGGGGAAAAGTAGATCAAGAATTGTTCTGGAATCGGATTGTGACTCCCAGAATCGGAATCGGATCGTGATGTGACTAAAGATTCCCACCCCTACCATCCATCCATCCTTCCTTCCTTCCTTCCTTCCTTCATCCGACAGTCTATTTTCCCATCCATCCATCCTTCCTTCCAACAGTCTATTTTTCAATTCATCCATCCATCCTTCCTTCCTTCCTTCCTTCCTTCCGACAGTCTATTTTTCCATTCATCCATCCATCCATCCGTCCATCCATCCCACCGACAGTCTATTTCTCCATCCATCCATCCATCCTTCCTTCCTACCGACAGTCTATTTTTCCATCCATCCATCCTTCCTTCCTTCATCCGACAGTCTATTTTTCCATCCATCCTTCCATCCATCCATCCATCCTTCATCCGACAGTCTATTTTTCCATCCATCCATCCATCCATCCATCCCACCGACAGTCTATTTTTCCATCCATCCATCCTTCATCCGACAGTCTATTTTTCATCCATCCATCCTTCCTTCCTTCCTTCCTTCCTTCCGACAGTCTATTTTTCCATTCATCCATCCATCCATCCGTCCATCCATCCCACCGACAGTCTATTTTTCCATCCATCCATCCATCCTTCATCTGAAAGTCTATTTTTCCATCCATCCATCCATCCATCCATCATCCGACAGTCTATTTTTCCATCCATCCATCCATCCTTCCTTCCTACCGACAGTCTATTTTTCCATCCATCCATCCTTCCTTCCTTCATCCGACAGTCTATTTTTCCATCCATCCATCCATCCATCCATCCATCCTTCCTTCCT